TCCCTCAGAGTCCATGTACATCCTAAACAATCTCTTCGACTGCTTAAGGGACACCCAGCTATGTTTTCCTCCTCGGGACTGGCGTTGCAGGTGGAAAACCCTGAAGAACAGGGGAATTGTCGCCCCAATTCTTAGGAAATGACAAGTTAGCTCGAATTCCCGGAGAAAGGCAATCGCGTTGGGGTGGAGCTGGGAGGGGGCCAGGTTCAGATGGTTGAACACCCCGACCTGAAAGTCGTTAAAAGGCAACCGAAGACCAAGATCTCTGAACACGATCTCGTACATGGGGAACGCATCTTGGGTGAACTTCGAGCAGATGCGAGCATCCCTCGCCGACCTCATTATTTTAAAGTTCCGTTGAAATCCTTCTTGAGTACCGCCGTACTCGACGACGGTATAAGCTTGTCTGCTGCGATGGCTGTACACCGAAGCTATTCCTCGGGGCTCGGCACCCACCCAATCCAGCGTGGGATCGTCGACGGTGTCGACCAGGGTAATGGACTCTTCTGCCGTGCTTGCATCCTCGACGTCATTACGCCCCGAGGACTCGGGAATGTCAGCCATTTACCTACAAAGTACAGGAAACCAGTGAATTCGACAGCAAATCCGTGTGCCCGCCACAAAGGCGGGGAGAAGTAATCAACGTTCAGCTCGAGTCTACAGCCATTCGCGAGAGAAACGAGAAACAAGTGGATCTCAACCAAACGCCGACACCCGGCGCCCGCCGTGCGTCAATCATGAACGACACGAGCGCAACATGAGTACCCCGAGCGAAGCTTGAATCGCGCGACCAAGTTCATAATTGCGCTTACACGGTACAAGAATACTACGGAGAACCTAGCCTACATACTAACGAAAGGGTGAATATCCCGGTCAAGTTCATGAATCTACTAACCAGAACGCGTGAGTATCGCGGGCAAGATCATGAACCATATGCCTAAACTTATTAATGTTCCGGGCACAACCATGAACCATATGCCTAAACTTATTAATGTCCCGGGCACAACCATGAATCAGGCGCCTAACGCGCTTAAATCTACCGGGCATAATCTCCAGATACAAGTTTCTACTAGAAAAACGTCATCAAAACTACCTACAACGCTGGAACTCAAAGGGAAAGGATACTTACTTGGAAGAAGATGCGAAGAACGACGGTGTTGGAAGTAATTGGACGGCGAACGGCGCGGCGATCTCAACGGCGTAATGGGAACTCACAACAGTAAAAACAGAGAAAATAGGAAAAGCGCAAAGAGGTGAAACGGATTATGGGCCATGTGATCCTATTTATAGAGATGACGTGGAATATGAAACGTCGCATCGGGGAACCACTAACCGCCCCCGTCCTCGACACCTGCTCACCTAGACAATGATGGCCCTATTCACTAGGGCGGCGTTGCGATTTCCAATAACTACACCACGTGTCCAACAGACACAACTGATGCGTCCCCGCAAGCAATCCTCGAGCACCCCTCGACATGAAAAAACCCGGTACCGGGCACAAGGTCCCCGCGAAAGAACAAACTGGGACCAAGTCATAACTCTTGTACCAGGAACAACGACTTGGGGGGCTCCTGTTCTGGACTGGGCCTGCCCTTGGCCCAAATCACAAGTAAGGCTCAATCCAAATCGTGCCTCGAGCTATGCTGGGAACCATATCCCCCGAGCATACCTAGTCAGGGGTTGTAGAACTAATACGGTTGTGCCCGCCGCGGTCCGCGACGAGAGGCATCCCCGACCAAGAACATCCCAACTCGAACCTTGCTCGAGCATCTTCCCCGTAGGGCAGACTCTCAGTCCCTCCGGATGCTTCAGAGTCTTTAGAGCTCCGAGAAGATCGTGTCTTCGTTCTTCCTTATTCTTCGCAGAGCATCATCTAGGAAGGGGACCACGTGCAGGTCCCCACTACTCACGTAGAACCTGGCAGTCCCTTTGTTGGGCCAATTTTGGCCGGCCCAATAAAGGGACATTGGTCCAGCGCTGGGGGCTATAAATACCCTCTATTCCAAGAGGGTCAGGTATTTATTCTTTACACACCTACACATAATTTACCTGTTCATTTTGTCGCTTACTTTATCATCGGAGTGTCTTGCAGGTACCCGCATCTCTCAAATCCAGTTCGAACCAGCTGTGGCGGTCCAACTCTGATCAGGTAAGATCACATATTATACCTCAAAACTTTAGTAATGACAATCTCCATTTCTCATCTCAACTCCTCTTTACTACTTCATTGTCACCATCCCTATAAATTTGAACCGCCGTCGCCATTCATTCGTTACCTTAACTATTTCTTCTTCTCTCACACATATCTCTTTTAACTTTTTATTTCTCTCTGTCAATTTTTTTATGCACACGTCTTTCAATCTTTCTCCTTTCACATCTTCATCTCTCATAGCATGAAAATATAACCAAATCAACTTTTTGTTATTACTTCAACTCAACTATGAGATATGGCCAATACACATCTTCAATGGCTTTAATCTTTATGTTCAGGGGTTTGGAATCAGTTCACTACAGATATCTTCGACCAAATGCATTAGATCTATATTCATCAAATCTAGATTCTGGAATATTTTTTTCTTGATAATAATATACTTGCACTTTGTTTTAAATAGTTATTCTGAATTTTTTATTAATCAGATATGACTTTATTTTTCTTAATAATAGTTATTGAATAGAAAAGAAATATTATGTGTTTTCTGTGTTTTTTTAATGTGGGTTTTATATTTTTTAATTAACTCATGACCGAATTGACCGATTCGAAAAACAGCAATATCAAAAAAATCGTAAGCCTTAAAACCGTGATAAAAATGGTCGAAATTGAACCTCTGTTTATCATCCATGGATTGAGTCGGATTGAAAATTTAAGATCGAATCCAATCCAACCCATCCGATTGTCCGGCCTTAATTTTGACACTGCTTTTGTACACCACACCATATAAATATTGTTCGTGTATCAAAATAATTACCCAAATATTAGTACTTAACTTTTTTTCATGTCTCTTTGTTTACATACGTAGGCCAAGTAACTTTTTCTCTCTCACTATACACAAATTACATATTCAATCACCGATCAGTCACTATTTTTCTCCTTTCTTCTCCTCACATATTCTTCTCTCCCTTTAACATTGGTTTATGTAGAAGAAACAAAGGAAGTGTGGAAAAAAAAAAAGACTAAAATGAATTTGTAAATCTTTAGTATTGTAGTGTAGAATTTGATAAATTGTGTTCTATTATCGAATTTTACACAATTTGATGTGTTGTAGTGCAGAATTTGGCACAATATTGACAATTTGTGGTTGTGTTTTGTTTATGTATGTATTGTTATGTTATTGTTCACTATGGAATTAATGTGATGAGTATGTTACCGTTCATTTTGTGGTGATACTGAATTTTGATGTCTGGGTATGCATTAATCAAAATTAAATTTCCATTAACTAACTTTCTGCAATGCATTAACTAATTTTGGTTTAACAATTTCCCCTCTGTTAATGTCTGAGCCTACGTTAACCAAAGGTAAACTTTCATTATTCAATTTTCTGTTTTGATGTCTGAGCCTACATTAATCAAAGTAAACTTCCATTAACCAACTTCCTACCATGCATTAATCAACTTTAGTTAAACAATTTCCCCCTGTTTTAATGCTTGGGCCTGCATTAACCAAAATTAAGTTTCCATTAATCAATTTTTTCCTGTTTTGATATCTGGACTTGCATTAACCAAAGCTAAAGAGAGATAGAAGAATATGTGGGAAGAAGAACAAGGCGCGGAGAAAAGAAAGTAGAAAAAAGTGATTGAGTGCTGATTGAATATAAGGTTCCTGTAAAGAGAGAAAAATTATATGGTCCACATATATATAAAATAAAGAGACAAGAAAAAAAGGTGAGTATGGTGAGAGACAGAGAGCATTGAAAGAATTTATATATAGGAGACACCCCCTCATCTTATAAGTCAATTTTGTAAGGATAAATGAGATTCATCCCAAATTCTGAGATGATATCAAAGTCTATCTTAAAAGATTTCTTTTTCCATCCTAAAGTTTTCTAGCGCATCATACGAAGTTACAAAAATACCTCTAAAAACCATAAATACATTACCGTGACGCACCAGAATTTGATATAACGTTGGATAAAACCGAAAATTAATTTCCAGTTTGTATCAGAACTTACGTTTCTGATTTTGTATTACACAGAAAACAGAAAAACAACATTGAGTAATATCAATTTCACATTTGGTCTATTTGTCTGAGTACAATCCGGAAATTATTTTCCAATTTTATCCAACGTTATATTAAATCCTAGCACGCACCAGAAATATATTTCCGATTTCCAAAGACATTTTAGGAAATGTGTAGAGTTTTTCGTTTCATTATAGGGTGAAAAGAGAAATTCTCCTATCCTATATTTATTGTTGGATTTCCCGCATCGTCCACACTTCGTGGTCATTGAGTCAAGCCAGAGGAGGTGTATTGAAATTTCCGCCTTAATTGCGGTCCGCCCCAAGTCGCCTTAATTGTAGCATTTGACTTTCCTTCATTGCAGTCTCCAACACATTCATTGTGTTAGTTTGAAGGGGTGAATTCACATTATTTAGAGATATGGCATGTATTATAGGTATGAATTAGACTCAGCCCTAATTCTGAGAATGAATATTTAAGTAATTATCTTAATACAAGTGAACAGTACTACGGTATAGTGTACCCAAAATTGCAAAGTTGTTTACATATTTATTTATCTAACTACTCCCCCAATATCTTAGGACTACAGTTAGAAGAAGAAAAGTGTCAATCATATCTTGAATTTCTTAAACACTAAATTAAAATGCTTAATGTTTACATATTTAAGTATCTAACTACTCCCCAATATCTTAGGACTATAGTTAGAAGAAGAAAGATGGCAATCATATCTTGAATTTCTTAAGCACTAAATTAAAATGCTTAAACTACCAAAATTGAAAAATGAGGAAAACTGGGATGAACCCAAAAATAATAATTAACCTAGTTTCTAAGGAAAGAGCAAGCACATTCCACAAATACCACTGCATTGTGTCTGAAAAAAGTTTCATAAAGCTATCAGAAGAAAAATCAGTTAATCGGATTCAAGCTACTATACTGAAAAAGGCTAAACAAAAGAGTTTCCGGGGATTCAATTAAATAATTTTAGGTACAAACTATTATATTGAAGATAAACTATTACATTGTATATCTGCAGACTATGTAGCATACAAAACTGAAGTAGAGCAATAGAATGGATGCCCCCTGCAAAGATCAAATTTCTATATTATTAGTGATGACTATAATCATGTGGATCTTAATATCAGAAGGGTGGCTAATTACAAATGGCAGGGAATGTCACAATCAATATATACATGCTTAATGATCTGACCAAAAATGTTTCAGATATCCGATTCAATTTCTTTAACAAAATTGCATCTGTCGGAAAGTTGTTTGGGTTTCAGAGTCAAATAGCAGATTTGAAATCAATGTTCATTTCAAATTTTTTTTGTACAGATCTGTCAGTTCGTTCACATATCACAGACAAATTACAAAAGGTTCAACTTATCAGCACATTTATTTCTTAAGATTAGTTTTTTTAGTAGTATAATTATATAAAGGAAAGAGACAACTTACTATTGAGTAGACGGAGACAGAGCTTAGAAGAAGATTATTGAAACACCCATCATGAAACAACCCATAGCTACCCACGGACTTAAACGCTCACCTGGGCAAGCAACCATTCAAGCAGGGTCACGATAATATCTCCAACAAGTTCCACATCTCATGAAATATATTTTGTTTACCACGACAAATCCCGAGATGCAGCACTCTTAGGTGAGACAATAAAATTTAAGAACTACAAGGCAGATCTAGAAAACTAATAACTGATGTCGCAGAACAACCTTATGCATGCCACTGTAACATAAGATTTTGAATCTTGCAAGGATATCAAACAGACTTATTGGAGGATGAATGTTCCAAGGGTTTATAAAAGTGACACATAAATATGAAGCATAACTACAGAAAAGGTTGAGACTGAAAATAATAGATAATCACGATTTAGTATATAAAAAAAATTAAGATATGACCATAATCCATCCTGTACTGTTTGCATAAACCATTATACATCCTAAGTTTTTCCATTGCCAATAGGGGTGTGTAGGCCATAAACACAGGAATACAACTATGTTGTTTGACCCAAATTAACTCAAAAAACCATATTCATAAGTCATTAAGGCATCAATCACATGGATAAAAGGCAATAAAAATCACAGCAAAAAGAAAAAGAAAACTTCATGGTAACCTGGCCGGAAACTAGGCCTTCTTTCACCCCTTCCTTTCAACTCCAATATCTTTTTCAAGGTTTGAATAAAAACGTAAATAGATTTTAAAAGCGCATATAAAAATGGACATACAAATTATAATTGATGCAGTAGCAAATCAAATAAGAGACATCTACCTACTCTTGCCGCCTTCCAGAAGAAACCACGGAATCTGTCAGGAAAACATGTATGTCATATGTCATCATGTTTGTTCAGCAAGTTCTAAAAATCTGTTATGGAGAATAAAAACACTAGGGCAAAGTATATATCCAATGTGTCAAAACAATGTGATTATGGTATATAAAACCTCACAATTAATTGACCGTATTAAACTCAAATGTCCAAATTTTCAAACACTTACAAAAAGATACAGTAAGGGCAGGGGAAAAGAATGAAGGGTTAAACAGTGATTTTCTTTCCCTTTGCATGAATGTTAAAAATCCTCAATTATGAGAACATAAAAACTTATAAAGGGATGGATTGTAGGGATTACAATTACATGATAAGACTTCACTATCTTTAACCCAGCTTGAAAAAACTCGTCAATATCTGATTGCAGAAAATATTGTTTTGGTTCAAATTTCGCAACACTACATCGATATAGTTGTTATTTGATAACATTTTGTACTAAATCACATAAAATTCTGCTACCCTATAGCATCACTAATATAGCTTCTACTATTTGACAACAATGGTTTAATGTAAACATAGGCTTAAACCATATGAGTATTTCCTATGGAATGGAGCAGAGCGGAGTGAAATGTAGCGGAATGAAGAATCCATTCCATCGTTTGGAAATTTTAGGACGGAACAAGGAAAATTCTTCATTCCGCCCAAAATAGGAGGGGAAGAAATATGGTGGTAAGTGATGGAATGGAATGAAATCGATACGGCTCAATTCCGCTCCATCCGATTTTAAATGGTCCAAACAATGGAATGTCACTCCATTCTATACCATACGACTTTGCTCCAAACAAAGCCTTAGATATTATAGATGGAAATAGATATAAAGAGATATAGTATATACCCAGTTCTCTGTTCAAGGATTGCTGGAAATTGCATCTTGAAGTAAGTGCAAGCACATATACCCAAAAGTATGACAGTAAGAAATGAATGGAAATTGAAAAGTGCGGACTGAAACCAAATAGAAAACAAATGTCAAAACCATTGAACAATCTATAAACTACACCAAATTGATTCAAAATTAACATTTTCCTCACCATCTTCTAGTACTCTTCTTCTTCCCTCGTTATAAGTCTACAAAACATTAGAATCACGGTCAGTAGTACACAGAAACAATTGAAAATTATGAATAATCTATCTCAATTAAAATTAATCATAAAAAGGTAATAAAACCTTACCCTAAAAAATGATGAACAATAAAAGTAGAAAATCCTTAATACCTAATGTGTTATGAGATTGATTCAGAATAGATCTATAAATAAAATGAGCTTGAGAAGATCTCGAAGAAAATTGTAATAATAAAGCGAATGAGTAAAAAAAAAAGGGAAGAAATTACCGAATTCGAAGAATTGATTCAGCTTGCGGTTGGAAGTAATGTTGCTTTTGTTATTTGCTTTATACTTTGTCTATCTTTCTTATTGAATCCCCTGCACTACAAAATGCCGCATTCACACCGTTAAAGTATTAATCGCCGTTAGATCTTCATCATACGGTTCAGAAAAAAACATTTATTTTTGTATAGTTTTAAATTTATCACTCTTGAACCAAAACCGTCCGATTTGTATGGGGCTTTAATTGCTCTGAACCCTTGTAAATTGATTTTTTTCATGGTACCAAAATATTTTTATTTTTATCCATTAAATAGGTAAATTGATTTTTTTAGATGAGATTTATATTAGCTTGATTTTCAAATGAGAAAGAGAAGAAAACAAAAAAAAAGGAAATATGATGCGAGAAAGAGGAATTTTAGAGAGATACATAGAAATTTAGATGGCATTTTCCTCTAAATCGTCGGATAATCTTTACTAAGGGTCTCTGTGGTTCAGTTTTAAACTGATCTAATTTTATGCAATTTAATTTGAATTGGTTTTTGAATATCAAAATTACACATTATATTTTTATTAATATTATAAAACTATTAATAAATCATAAATTTGATATAATATATAATATATAATATATTAAAAGTTAATATTACAAAATGAGAGTGATCGATTATAGTTGAAATAATAAAAATAAATAAATTATATCAAACTAATAAATATTATTAAAAAAATTATTATCATCTAATATTAAATTCACATAATATATCATACTAATAAAAAGTAAATAAGTATAAAAATACATGTGTGCAGTTCGATTTGATTTAGATTGATTTTGAAAAATTCATCTGAAATCCGATTCGAACCAATCAATTTTCATAAAATAACATCCAAACGCATCCAATAAATTTCATTTTTTTACAATTTTCGATTTTTTAGATCGATTTTCGATTTTTATTTGAATTGATCTGGATTTGAACACCCCTAATCTCTATCCTAAAGTTGGATAGTCTTTTTTTTAAATGAAATTCCTTATTTGTAAATAGTGTCAAACATCTATATAAAGTAGTACAACTCAATGAAGTTGAACTTTAATCGGTTATAAAATTAGTAAAATTATTGAATCAATGATAGGCAAACTATTGAGTCATTGATCGAATCACGTGACTAAATTAGATAAACTGAATTAATCAATTAAATAAATTGTTCTATAACAAAACTATGTAGTTATTAAATCGATCAAATCGGATGACTCAATCTCTAAAAAAATATCATGACACCTATAAAATTTCAAGATACCATAATTTCACAAGTTCAGCCTTTGAATTAAAATTATAAATATTGCCATTACATATAATAAAATAATATAAAATATAAATACAAATAAATTATGAACAAAATCTAATTATAACATTATCTGAGTAACAAAATAACTTGTCTAATAAATATAATTCTAATGAAGGAAAATCATTCCAAATATATATTGAACAAAGTATATTTGTATTTTAATTTTACTTTTATAAAAAAAAAAGTTAAATATATAATACCCCTATCAATATAGTGAGATTTGGTTTTTGCCCCCCCTCCTAAATTTTTTTTTTATTCCTCTCTTATAAAATCCAGATTCGATCAATAAAGACCTAAATCACATTTTTTGCCCAAATCTTTGAAATAATAACCAAGGACCTCACCATAAAAGACAACAAATCTTACCACTGGGCAATATGCTTTCATTTACAGTTAACTTCCTTTATTAAAAAAAAGGAAATGAAAACGTAGAGACAAAATCCATGTTCATAGAACGAAGAAGTGAATATGGATGACGGTGGTGACAAAACTCGGTGGGGACAAAATCTTATATTTGATTCTTTTGCCTTGTGGTGTTGTTTTGTTGTTATTGATTGAAACTCGGATTACGGTTTGAGAATTGACAACTAATTGGTACTATATCTATCGCTTTTCCGCTCGCACGCCAAGTGCTCGATGGAATGCCTGAGCTGAGTTTCTTGCTTCTTTTATTGTTTCGATTATGCTTCCCCAATCATAAACCAGTTACCGAGAACAACCTCCACAATTGGTCTCTTTCGGAAGTCAGCATTAAGCATTGCCTAGAAATTACGAGAGCAACACCATGAACATTTGATATAGCTACTAAATAGGAAATTCACACTTGAAATTGATGTAGCAATACATATATTTTTGATGAACTACTGGTATTTTAGAGCTTTTGTGAAAATAAGCTATTTGTTAAACATTTATGTTTAGCACACACTCACTTAAAGCCATTAACTGATAATTTTCCATTCTAGCATACATGTTTTATATACCTGAAGCAACCCCAACCAGCATCATTGCCAAGATCCAGGAAATCGATAGCATAATATAATCAATCATGAAGGACCTGTTCATCCTATAATCGATACAGCAAGCCAAGATTTATATGTTAGATACACAACATTGTTGCATTTATTCATTTAAAGAATTCAATATCAAAATTAGGTTATGTTTGGTGAACATGCTAGAACAAGATAGAACAAAACATGTGAGTTCTGTTCTATGTTGGGTACATGTTAAAAGTAAATCAGAACAAAAAAGATGAAAAAAAAGTGGTACGTTTTGTTTCGACTGAAAGGGCAAACATGCAGAAGATTGAAAGAAGTACATATCTGAGGGAACTATAAACAATTGAAATGAGTTAACCCATTGGTTGGGCGTTTGGCAACAATGCAAGTGTTCTTGGGTTCGAATTCCATAGGTATCAATTTTTGAGATTAATTTTCTATATTTTCAAATATAAAAAATTATTTAAATATAGGAAAATTAATACACAAGATCTATAGTGAAGGAATCTATATTTATTAAGGGGGATCACAATTTTTTAAGGGGGGCAAAATTAAATCTCGCTACATTGGCGGGAGTATCATATATTTAACCCTAAAAAAATAATCAAAATAACGTCTTTTGTGTGAGAAAAAAAAAGAAATTAAATTGCCAATGTTTTAAAATCGCTCTTTCTCTAGTTTTTACCGGTTCAATAGTTTATCTGGTCCAACAATCAGACCAGACCAGTGATCCTTCTGGTTCTCGGTCCGACCGTTGATCTGTTCTGATTTTTAAAGCACTGATAGTGATCAAGATTCAGATTTAACAATAATTATTGTAGTTTTGAACTCTATCTCCTAACATCAAACCCGCATACAACTTTTCTTTAAGTATATTCTCAAAAAGTCCATGTTGTTAAGGTTATGCACATGTATCTCAGTTAAGTAAACGCGCTAGAAATCTCTGTCTGAGATTTCATATGAAGCGGTCTCACTCCCACATTTAGAAAGAATCTATCAAGAGTACTCACGTAACTAAATACTCCACTCCATATAGATTATATATATCTCATTAAAAATTTCTATTACATCAACCTCGAATCACTTCAGGAATCATGCTCACAAGCATGTCCATTATCATATCACTTTACAACTTATTATTACTCATTGAACTTAAATCTTGGGATCTTCAGTATTTTAGGATGGGTTACTATTATAAGTGATTATTTAATCCATTGACAATAGTCCACTCCTTTTGGGTGTATTTTGGACTTTCTCACTATCTAATCTTTTCGTTAAAGGGTTAGCTAAGTTTTCATAAATGCTTACAACATCCACTCTAACAACTCCACTAAAGATGAATTCTCTAACAGGTTTATGTTTAAAATGGATTTGTCATCTCTTACTATTATATTAACAACTCTTAATTTTTGCAATATCTGCGATATTATCACATATTAGACCAAGATAACACGCGTCAGTTTTCCCACATGAGAATCTCCTCTAGCAAGCGTCTGAACGAGCTTGCTTCTCATTAGCGGTTGCAAGAGCTATTATTCCTGGTTCTATAGTGGATTGAACAAGAATCATATGTTTCTTAGACATCAAATAGATCGTTCTTCTAACTATGTTAAAGATGAAATCGATGTTGCGTTAGAATCATCGGACAATTTGTTCCAAGCAGCATCATTGCACCCCTCAATGACACCAATTTTTTTTTGATAATGTAATATGAGATTCATAGTCCATTTAAAGTGTCTCATAATTGTTTCAATAAAGTGCTAATGCTTTTGTTGGCTCCTAAATTCGACACCCACGTTCTATTATTATATAGATCATTAATTATGAGTTAGAAGAGTTTCCTACACAAGAAGGCTTCGATCAACTGATCACATCGAAGGCTTATCAAAGAATGACAAGATACTTAGAGAAATTTCTCTAAGTTGGAATCATGTTGTTTTCAACGTCGAAGGAGCAACCTTTCGACCAAGGTCCCTGATGCCCAAGATCGAACGGTTTGAATTTCGAATTGTTAGAGGGAAAACGGTTCCCAACAGTTACCAAGCGCAACGTGGCGTGGAAGTAGGCGTCGAGGGTTGTGAATGTGCCATGTGATGTCACCACGAAGCGATGTAACTGCCCAGCAATTACTTAGGATTTTTAGTATAAATACTAAGTGTTCACGTAGTTATTAAGGGTGTTCATCATTGTATACAAGTCACTCATTTAGATTCAAGTACCCAGCGTGAGAGAAAGAATCATTGAGAATGTATGTGTGAAACACCATTTACCTTAATCGAAATCTTTTACATTCAAGCAATTTATCGCTTTCACTTATTTATCTCAGTCGAAGTCATTTATTTAACAAGTCTTTAATGCTTTTATTTACTTTATCAAACTTTTCTCCATGAAATTTACTTAAAGTGTATCTACCTTACTTGCGTTAATCACCATTAGGATTAGTCGAAACTCTCTATTTTAAAGCGTTTAAACGATAAAAATCAGCCATGTCTTAGGATCAATATGATCGATCCTGCGAGTCACCAAATAAGTTACCTTTTGGAAGATCAGCGGTTGTTTACTATTTTTCACGGTAAACAAATTGGCACGCCCAGTGGGACCTTGTGTTGATTTTACGAGTTTAATCGTTTTTTATAAAATATACTCCTTTTTCGAGAGTATTGCATGTTATTGAGAAGTGGTAGAATATACACCAACGAAACCAATACTAGGAGAAGAAGTAGAGAAATGGAGAATCCGCCAAACAATGGAAAAGACCCACAAACAAACGTGGGAGCGACGGTTATCCCAACCAACTGGTTATCATTCAGTGGGCTAACTGACATCCAACCAACTGGTTGGGGA